CAACGCGTGGTAATCCTACGCGTAGTAATCCAATGCGTAGTAATGCAACGTGTGGTAATGCAACGCGTGGTAATCCTACGCGTAGTAATCCAACGTGTACTAATACAGCGGGTGGTTATCCAACGCGTAGTAATCTAGCGCGTGCATATTCTACGCATAGTAATCCAACGCGTAGTAATGCAACGCGTGGGAATTCTGAGCGTAGGAATCTAACGCGTGGTAATCTAACGCGTAGTTAACCAACGCGTAGTAATGCAGCGTGTGGATATCCAACGTATAGTGATCCAGCGCGTGGATATTCAACGCGTAGTAATCCAGCGCGTAGTAATGCAACGCGTGGTAATTCTAAGCGTAGGAATCTAACGCGTAGTTAACCAACGCGTAGTAATCCAACGTGCAATAATCCAGCGCATAGCAATCCTCACTCTCTGATTGATCTGTATGTTTCCTTAATAATTCATAAACGAAGCTTCAAACCCCATTTTTGCAAAGGGAAATCTTATTCAGAATCAACTCCCCCTCATTTCAGAGACACTAGTGTGAGGCACCCTGTATAATGACTAAGAAAAATTAAAATCTGAGAAAGAATATTAACGAATATTAAATCGAATCAATGTATAATTTTTTCAAGAGATGAATTATTTAAAGATGCAGAGAAATTTGTGTGTACAGTAGGCTCTTGCTATATCGCCACGGACAGGGATGTAGGACGTATACGACAGTGGTGTGAAAAAGTATTTGGATCTTTTTTGTAGTATAACGAATAAAGAAATAAATAGTATTGAGATTTCTAATGAATTTATTTATGTATTCTATCGATCCAAGTGCATCCTTCAAGTGTATTTTGTGGTGAAGCAATAACCTGATAAAATTATATGGATCACCCTGTATATTCTTCTGCAGTACTGTAATAACTCAGCTATACGAAAGAGAACGCCAAAGGTGTTCCAAAAGGAAGCAAAATGAGAAATAGCAAACTGAAAGCACATTTCAATTTATTAACGTAGAATGTCGCAATGTCCCTAAATATCCAGAAGCCAGCAGAAAAGGAGAAAGAGGGGCGTTGCGAATGAATTTTATTACGAGCAATGATCGAGAGCTAGCTACGTCGGATAGATTGAACGAAAGGAAGTGCTCAGCGTTTCCTAGTTTCCGGCCACTCTTCGATCCCTGAACGAGCCGTCGAGACGAGTCAACGAGTTTCGTCCCATACCTCGCGTACAAGGTGTTCAAATAATAATCATCCTCATTTTTACATAACATTAACAATCCGTTTGCAAACCATTACTGCACCATACAACATTCTTGAACACCTCTTTATAAAATGAAAAATGTTCAAATAAAATATTGCATGTTGTGATTTTGCTTTAAATCGATTCATTCACTTCTTAATATTAACTCCTTGTTCTTTACTATCGAAATATAGTTTTTAATACATTTGTTTCGTTGAAAAGTGTTCAAACAAAGTTACATGATATAATATGGTTTAAAGTTATTTGAATTTGCCTTTCAATATAAAAACCTGTTTAAGAATGACCAAAATTTCAAACTGTTTAAAAATATCAAGATTGGTAATATGTAACCTTACTGGGTTAATATATTGCATATAATTTGATGGTATATTGCAAATATTTATTTAGTAAGCATCAGAAACAGTAATGATTAATTTTTCAACACCCCGTACACGCGTTGCGCGAGGCGAACAAAGTGGTAGCTGTTCAAACGACAAAAGGGACTTCCGTCTTCTCTCTTTCTCTTCCGGCTAATTCGATGCGAAGATTTTTCTCTTTCTACGTTTTCGCGATCGATGTCATACAGTTTCTTTAGGAAAACAAGAATTTGTTCAGTTTCTTCATAAAGGTGGAGAATATAAAAATGAAGATAGGGAACATGTTGATATATCTGCGATAGAGTTGCCTTTCATTTCATAAAAAATCACCAATGACCTGTTATTAATATTCCTTTCTCTAGCTATTATAGTTGGTTTTTGCTGCAAATATTTCTTACGTTAATTGTGTCACGGTAACACAATGTAGAATGTCAGTAAATTAGAACTGAGTTGTGCATTAATACAGCGTTGTTTTAAATAGTAGCAGGAAATCATTTCTTGTGGAAATACTTTTCGACGTTTTATTAATAGCTCATCATGAAGTATTATTTTTCATTTGAAAAACTAGAGTAATCTCCTTAGAATATCTCTAATAATTGGTAGACAAAATTATTCATAAATAAGCCCATTAGAAATCTCAATACTATTTACTTTATTTATTACACTCAATACTTCCATTCACTTCTAAATATTTTTACTCGTCACTGTATCCTATGCAAACAAAAATTAGTCCTTCTCAGAGATAACAGTTTGTATTATATTATATGTCTCGTTATATTGCCGGGGTCGATGGTGCTGTAAGATTCTATGAATCAAAAGTATATTGACTTGACATGTTGACGAACATGTAATACATTAAGATACAATACGTCATCATACAATATGTCATACAACGTGAAATGCGAAATACAACATACTGTAATATATTGTAATATATGTATTAATATTGTTGAATTGCAATATTGTATACTAACATTGTTATATTACAATGTGACATTAAATGTTAATCTCGTTATATTACAATAAAATATATTATATTACAATATGTAATATTATAAACAATATATTATACATATGATATTATAATGTATACTGTGTCTTGGATACAATATATACTGTATACAATGTAGTACATTGTATGTAATATATGTGTATATACATGTATGTACAGATATGTACATATGCATATACATATGTGAGTGCATACAGGTATGCATATGTATATGTGTATACACACATATGTATATCCATATGTGTTTACAATAAAGTATATTAGACATACTACATATGTATGTACACGTATGTATGTATGCATATACAATATTGCACCATACACATATAATATGTACATATGCATATACATGTGTGAATGCATACAGGTATATGTATATTTGTATACACATATATGTATATCCATACGTGTGCACAATAAAGTATATTAGACATACTACATATGTATGTACACGTATGTATGTATACATATACAATATTGCACCATACACATACAATATGTACATATGCATATACATGTGCGACTGCATACAGGTATGCATATGTATATGTGTATACACACATATGTATATCCATACGTGTGCACAATAAACTATATTAGACATAATACATATGTATGTACACGTATGTACGTATACATATACAATATTGCACCATACACATACAATATAATATATAGTAATACATATTGCAATATAATATATCCTTGTATAGAACATGTTTCCATACACGACCGTCACATGACCATACGTCACATTCCCATACAACGTCAATACAATGCGCTGAATTACAATGCATCCGCTTATAAAGCATCATGGCTACATACAACGCCTCGGCCTACAATGCTCCACCACAATGAATTATCGTATCACGATATCTCGACATTCCTCATTGAAATCGCATAAGCGGCAATATAACGAGACTACGCAAAAAGTAATTATCGTCTCAAAAGTTGAGAAATTTAATTGCCGATCTCGCGTCGAAAAGTTTAGTGGAACTTAACTAATTAACGTAGACGTTGCAAGAGGTAATAAATAAAATGTAAAAGGTAGATAATTACGAAGCAAGGATTTTATCGGCGTTAGATAGAAGCTCCGAACGCAAGTATTCACGATCGATTCGTGGAATCAGAAGCGTGTCTCGCATAAAGTTTCCGACGTGTTTCCGGTTTCGTCGTACAGGAACAAGCGTCCGAGTAGGAAGAGGAAAGAGAGACGGAACGAGTAGGTGTAGATAAGCGAACAAGGATAAGAGCGTGTGTCTGTGTGATGAGAGATGCAAAATGGGTAGAACGCTATAACATTAGAAGAAAAAAATATGGAAATGATATACGAGAGCCTCGTGTGTTTTGTATATGTACCCACTTTGTATATGATAACCGAGCGAATTATCGCGATCGAAAATAAAGACTATACAAATTTCGCAAAAAAGAAGAAACAACGATTGATCAGACGTTTATGCGCATCGAGTGTATCGGAGTTTAACCTCCTTCCTGTTTTTGTTTTTCTTCTAGTGTCACGAGGTTCTAGATTCCAGAGGAAACGACGATCGTGATCGATTAGTTTAATACCGTGCTTCCGTCTTTTAAAATGTGCTTTCTTTTTTCTACGCGCTGGGAAAACAGGATGAAGCCGGTCGATGATTAGAAGGTATTTAATAGCCTTAATTTGTATCTTTTAATCACTCGAGGTAACGCGATTTGTACCTCATATATTTTACTTTTGCAATTTTTATTGATATTCTTAATCACGAACTCATTTTCTTGATAAATCGATTAACTATCTAATAAATTCATCACTGTACAGAATAGTGTGATAATAGTTTCTTCAGGACATGTTATATACATCAAATGTTTGATAATTATCTATAAATTGCAATTTCTAATTTTTATTAAAAGATTTATAATTAGAATAATTATATAAGGGAGAACATTGTATAAGACGTTAAATCATCGCGTGTTATACTGCCGCGCATTAGAACATCAAGCTTTGTACGTCTGCACGTTGCATATCGACGCGTTGCATTTGAATGTGCTGTACGTCATCAGATTGTATATCAACGCGTAGCATATCAATGCACCGAATGTCAACGCCTCGCATACTAACTCGCGTTCGCAATTGCGTTGTTTATTGACATATTGCATATCAGTTCCTTGCATACGAACGTGTTGCATATCGATGCGGTGCATTTTAACACCTTGCATGTCAATTTCTTATACGTAATCGCTTTGTTAATTGACTTCTTTCATGTCGGCTCGTTTCACATTTTCTAATTGCGTATCATTTTATAGCATGTAACATAGCATATCATCTTACAACATATCACATTGCATATTGTCTTACAACATATCACATTGCATATCATCTTACAACATATTAGAAAGCATATTGTCTTACAACATATCACATTGCATATTGTCTTACAACATATCACATTGCATATTGTCTTACAACATATCACATTGCATATTGTCTTACAACATATCACATTGCATATTGTCTTACAACATATTAGAAAGTATATCATTTTATAGTAAATTAAATTGCATATCACTTCATAGCAAATTATATTGCGAATCATATTGCATATCACCTCATTGCAAATCATATTACATATCGCTTTATTGCAAATCACATTGCATATCAGCTCACAGCTAATCACATTGCATATCACCTCATAGCAAATTAAATTGCATATCACATTGCATATCACCTCATAGTAAATCACATTGCATGTCACTTCAAAGCAAATTACATTGTAAATCATATTTGCATATCACCTCATAGTAAATCACATTGCATGTCACTTCAAAGCAAATTACATTGTAAATCATATTTGCATATCACCTCATAGTAAATCACATTGCATGTCACCTCAAAGCAAATTAAATTGCATATCACATTGCATATCACCTCATAGCAAATCACATTACATGTCACCTCATAGCAAATCACATTGCATATCATCTCATAGCAAATTAAATTGCATATCACATTGCATATCACCTCATAGTAAATCACATTGCATGTCACTTCAAAGCAAATTACATTGTAAATCATATTTGCATATCACCTCATAGTAAATCACATTGCATGTCACTTCAAAGCAAATTAATTGCATATCACATTGCATATTGTCTTACAACATATCACATTGCATATCATC